GCGCGGGGGGTCCCTGCCGCCGCTCGCCCCCTTCCCCGGCTCGCTTGTGCCCCGCTCGCTCCCACCGCCTGCTCCTGCGTGCTTGGGCACACGGCAGCATTCAAAATAAGGGAAAAAAAAGGGAAAAAAAAGAAAGATGGAGAGAAGGGGGGGAAAAAAACCCCCGCGCTCGTCGCCGGGGGAATTTCTGCTCCCTAAAATGGCTGCCTGGAGGAAGCCAAGTGTGCGGGCAAGCGCACGGGCAAGCGCACGGGCACGGGGCTGGCTGGTGGCGGGATGCGGCGTTGGGGCGGGATGCCACGGGGCCGCCGGCATGAAAGGGCTGCCAGGCCGGCGCGGGGAAAGGGTGGGGAGGAACACTGGCAATTGGGGAGGGAGACAAAATGGCTGCGTTCGGCGTCAACGTCAAGCGGCCCCGGGGGTGGCGCGGGGGGAGGGAGCCGCCGTGGGGCCGGCAGCACCCTGCCAGCCAGCGGGGCCGGGGGGCCGGGGATCCATAATTCAATGGGTGGCATCAGTCCAGGCTGCCAGCGCGGCCGGGAGCCCGGGTAGCCCTCACCCCCCCGGGCACACACTTCGCTATTTTTAAAAGCGATTGGATCGGCCTTTTTGGGCACCGAGTGCTCTCCCCCTCCCTGCCCCGCCGTGGGGCCGGCAGCACCCTGCCAGCCAGCGGGGCCGGGGGGCCGGGGATCCATAATTCAATGGGTGGCATCAGTCCAGGCTGCCAGCGCGGCCGGGAGCCCGGGTAGCCCTCACCCCCCCGGGCACACACTTCGCTATTTTTAAAAGCGATTGGATCGGCCTTTTTGGGCACCGAGTGCTCTCCCCCTCCCTGCCGGGGGGGACGCCGGCACTGAACCCCTCCCCGCTGGGCTCCCTGCAATGCGGCAGCAGGGTCCCCACGCCTCCGTCCCCCATCCCAGCCCCGGGGGGTGCGGAGGGTGCAGGATGCCCCCCATCAGCGAGGCTGGGGGGCGCGGGGGGCTCCCCAGGCTTCTTTCGCTTTCCCCGTGCAGCCGAGCCACTTGTTGGGTGCTGGCTTTGGTCCCCCCGCAAAACGTCCCTTGGGGGGAGCGAGGCCGCAGACGGAGCCCAGTGATGCCTTCGCCATTTTAGCGCACACCAGCCGGCCGCAGGCAGCCGTCACATGGCGGTGAGAGCAGAGTTTGGCCTGGCTGCGCTGCGCCGGAGGAGGCAGCCAGAAATCTGCTGACGAGCTCGCCCGGCCCAGCCGTGAGGATTGCCAGCAGCTGGGGGGGTACCGAGCCCACGGCCCCCCATCCTCGCCCCCGCATGCCTCCATCAGTGGGGACACGAGGGTGCCGGGAGGGGACGGTCCAGCTGCCAAACCTCGGAGCTCGGGAAAGTCCCCGGTGCTCCTTGGGGTGCCGTGGCTGGGACTGGGGTGCTCGCGTTGGGGCAAGGCCCCTGCGGTGCCCCCCAGGAACAGGGGTGGGTGGGGTGGCATCGGCGGTGCTGGGTCAGGGTGATGCTGGTGGGAGGGTGTGGGGGCACAGGGACACGGGGGGCACCCACAGGGATGGCGGGGGTACCCAGGGCGAGCGAGTGGCCCGGCTGGGGGCCCTGGGGGGGAACAGGGGCCAGGCTGGGGCAGCTTTGGGGAGAAAAAGGGTTGTGCCAGGCGTCCTGGGGGAGCAAAGGTCCACGTGGAGCACCTAGGGGTGAGGAAAGGGCCGTGGGGGGCATCTTGGGGTGAGGAGGGGCCATGCGGGGTATCCTGGGGTGAGCAAAGGTCCCTGCGGGGCATCTCGGGGCGAGCAAGGTCGCTGCAGGCTATCTCAGGGTGAGCTATCGTGGGAGGTCCCGTGGGCCGAGCCGAGGGCCGCACGGGGCACCTCGGAGGCCACCGGGTGAGGGCATGGCCCGGGGGGCTTCCTAGTGGCTAAGCACCCCCGGGAGCAGGCAGCCGGGTGCCATCCCGGGGGCGAGCGGGGGGCTGGGGAGCCCCAAGGCAACGGCGGGGGGGTCCACAGACTCCGCGTCCGGCAGCGGGC